ATGTCTTTCTAACTACAATAGGAATAATAATAATGATAATATGACTCAACTGTCACTACAAATATCAAATATGAACTGCCATCGACAATCCTGTAATATTATCTTTATAATTGTTTCTAGTGTTATTCGATAAAATTAGATGCAGTATTGTACCAAATGCTGAAAATTCCATACTGCATAATTAGTGCTGTTTTGGAATAAAGTAGAAATTTTTGTTGTTATTATTATTAGTAGGAGTAGTAGCACTAGGAGTAATTTTTTCAGCCAGTACACTGTACTTTGCTGTAATACCGAAATGGTGAAAATTTATTTTCGACGCTCTTTTTATCATATGTCACTTTCTTATTCACTGCTCTTCGTTACAACTGAAACCTAAATCAGTGATAACACCTGATGAAATAATATATGTCGACTCGCTGGAGGATTTCATCATGAGCTGATTGATATCAGTTGGAGAACCGTTGGTAAAGCTGTGAATACTGGACAGCTGCCTCGTCCTAGTTTGGGACTCTTCATCGGTATGCACCCACCGGGATTCTAACTGATGTCAGCTCATGATGAAATCCTCCAACCAATCATACAAAAAGTCCCCTACAAAAAAATATTTGAAAATATATGTTGGCCTAAAATTGTTCTTGTCTAATTTGAATTTCTTCATTTGTATCTTTTAGTCATGAGTCACCTTTTCGGTTGAAAACCAGTCATTCATTCTTGTTATGATTCGTATGACCCTTTCGTAAGTTTGAAAATATTTAGTCCTATTACATTACGTCATATGAAGGTAGCATTACGTCACACGTGACACGAAAAACAGGTCAACTGCTTTAACTGAACTACGATTATTTAGTTGAAGTTTCCTAAAACTATGTCAAAAACTGAATGCAAAGTTTTGATAGGTCATTCATGTCGGGGTTGGTGATGAACTGCCCTTGTGGTTACTAGTAATCACATTTGAAATTAAACATTCAGAGTTGAGACTGGCGAGAATATGCGTGAATTGCGTTCACAAAACACACGGAAAGATTTTTGTGGAAATTTAAGTTTATGTTTCAAGTGGCCCAGAAAGAAAATTAACGGAAATTTAGAGGACTCAAGATCATTTAATAGATCATTCAGGAATAACAAGAGGACTACTAATGAAGACTGTAACTCGCTTGAAGGGAAGAGAGGAGAGTCAAAGAAGAATAAGCAGTAAGTGATTGATTTGATTCATTTCGTTATTTAATGTTCACTGGATGTTAATTCTTTTGGGTGTTATTTTTCAAAGTCTTGTGTTGTCTCCACATGGAAGTATTCTGTAGAACGCAGACTGCAGTGATACTCTTGTCATCGTATCTGAACTCAAACGATAGGGCGAAGCCATTGGATGAAGATAGATTCAGACAGTTAATCAATAATAATAATTCACTATAATGCATTTATAACTGTACAGGCTAGTGATAAAGTTATCGAAAAGAGTATACTTTGTTCAGTAACCATTCTTCTGAATACTTGAAAGGGCACTTTTAATTAGTCAATAATAATCTACTTTATTCGAAAAACAGTACTTATAATACAGAATGGATTTCTCAGCATTGGTAAGGAAACCACCACATTGACCGGTTTCTAACAGGCATTAGAAATCACGCGTAGAACCTATTAGGAGGAATCGCTTGAAACATTATTTGAATAAGGAATATTTCCAACTCCATAATCGTTCAGTATTCTGAGTTTTCGGTACTGTTCTGCATTTTCCATGCTAACAAATCTGAATGACTTCTTGTGAATGTGTTCTGGCGATACCTGAATATATAGACACACAGAGAGAGAGAGAGATAGAAAAGTAAACTGACATTGTTGAGTGAGTCGAATTCATGCATAACAGTGAGATCGGTTGTATTGTATGGAAAACACTACAGTGACAAGCTCTGACGAAGGTCGTACCATCTTAAGTAAGAATAGGCTAGAGATGGTAAGTGTAGACGAGGAGTTCTGAGGTTGTTCACAGCCTTCCAAGTGACAAGCATATCATGAACAATGGGAAATTATTATTGTCTTCTGAGGTAATATTATTTTACCAGGTGTTGAATGAATACAGAGGAGACATGAGGACGGGAGAACTTTGAAATTTTGACAACCAATCTCACTCAATTCAGACTCTTCATTCTATCGATCTTGCCCACCCGATCGAACAAAAGTGGTAGATAATAGACGAATGATTGTCGTGGACAATAGTAAGAGAACAAATGGGTGAATGTTTGGTTATGTGACAGCAGTTCACCGATTTAAACCATTACTACACCCAATAATTTCCGATTTTAACCAGAATTTGTCCATTTTTGTCCGTCTGAGAATGATCAGGTGATCTTCCAACCACTCATCTTTCAACCTAGATAGTGATATCCATGTTACACGCCATAACCAAGTTCATCACAGTTGACTTATTATCTCAAAATATTTGTAGGAATTATCGTCATTAAGATAAGTATTTCTATGTGAGAGGTGAAGTGTATTGTCACTGAGATTCAATAAAAGCCTCCGGGATGTCCTTCTGCGATCACACGGCTGAAGAAATATATCATGGTGCATTTAATGATCGCTTCATATGTGAAAATCTGGAAGTCGCGTCATCGTCTAAAGGAATCCTAATGGCAATCTTCAATAGGTCGGTCTCTCCAACTGCTCTAAAATAACTCTGGTAAACTCTCAGCTATTCAAGATTTCCTATATTCTCAATGGATACTTTGTCCCAATCTCGATTTCCACTTGTAGATTTCGCGCTGACACAAGCATAACATTGAATGACGAGTGTCCTGATGGTAATAACAATGAGCTTTGGATATCCAGAAAATCACAGAACAGATTGTATAGAAGCATGTATATTCCGAAGGAAAGATCCAATCTTGTTCCAATTAGGCAAGCTTCACTCGGATGTCAGAGAGTATTGCCAATGATCAAGGTGAGAGAGTTATTGATATAAGGATATAAAACTTAGGCAAACTGGTGATTTCATTACGGATAAAACTTTATTTTGACAAAGTCACACAGTGTCATACACTAATATTTACTGATGACGTTTCGAGAACAATTTATTGCTCATGATCACATCAAGGCACTGACACAACGTTCTTGTTTCGTTCATACACATGAGTAAAAGTTGATTAGACATTTGAAGAAAACCAATATAAGACTTGAGTGAAACGGAGAGGAAGATAAAGTACATTCGGAAATAATATCAGTAAAATACAATAGGATGGGAAATAAGACGAGTGCTGTTAGTCAGTAAGATAGGAAATAAGATGTGTTTTTTTTACAGTAAAAATAAGTAGCTTGTTAGAATGTTATAATGAGAATTGAATGCATTTTAACAATATCTTCCATATCTCTGGTATTTGCGTTGAGTCTCTTCTATTGCATGTGTTGGGTGTAGACTCGATGAAGCAGGATTCGGTAATCAATCTCTCTCTCCACCTACCTACCTATATCACCTTTTAGAATTTTGACTCTGTCCTACCCACCCTACTGTGTGGTTTTGTGTTAATGCATGCAGTGCTATTGCTGAGTTTTTTCTCTCAAATAGTTATCTTCGTGGAATCAATCATTCTAACCGTGGCTAAATTCTTATGTTCTGATAATCTGACTACTCCTGATCTACTAGTCTGACCTATGTAGTTGACCCAACTCATAGTCATTGCAAGGTTTTTTGTCACAGAATTGGTTGTATTGATAGCATTAGTAGTAGAAACAGAAGAAGTGTTAAAACAAGAGACTAAATTTGACAAGAAAGCGGCCCTTCAATCAGTGCCAAACACTGGTGTACATTCAAACGTGAAACGTTGAATAGAAAATCATATGTAAATATTCCGCCTGAATCAGTTAAACAAGAATTCAAGGCTGTCAGATCGTGTCATTATATAATATGCTTCCGGATAAATGAAGAAGTCCATGGCTATTGTTGTAAAACTTTTGTGATACCATTATGTTAACATTTACGTGTATGTACGTGAAATGTGTCTCCGGCTTCGATTCACTTCTGCATACATGAAATGTCATGTATTCTCCTGTCGTAGGTAGTATATTCGTTACCCATCCGAAATGTCGCAATATTTGTTTTCATTTGTCCTTGTGAGTCTGTATTTGTGGAGTGAACTGACTCTAACAAATAACTGCAACTCTCGTTCTTTTGGTCCAGATGCCACAGAATGATGGGAGGTTAAATAATTGTATTACTGTTTGTTACGATCTCGGCTCGATGCAGTCGCTGACCAGTTTTGCTGAACAACTAGGATCATCGATAAAATATTCGTAGTAAGTATTGTCAAGCCTCAATAAAGTCTGCTTATCAGTTTAGGTAATGAAATATTTCCGACCTAATTCGCTAACTCCAACTTGATATGTGATTATATTCATGAATATATATTCTGACAACTACACAGTGACTACAGTTTACTTACAGCGAAAGAATCCCATCCAGCTGCGACAAAAATACCTAATAATGACCTCGGTGATATCATATTCCTTTTATGCCTCATGTTTTGTATTCTGTGCAATCGGCAGTGTTGGTGTATCGTTTGGTCACTGAATGAAATGGACCGTCACTTGTAAAGAACAGCTATTGTTCAGTGCTTTCGATTAATAACAGCTAAGACCGACTTTTAAACTAAGTCTTATGGAATGTTCTTCATTGGTTCATCGGTGTGTCAGTTGTTCAGTCAGTAAGTCAGATAGCCAGCTACTTTTCAGTGATTATGATTTGGTGATGTGATTTAGATCTGATGGGGTGTCTAAGTAGGCTCGCAGACAGACTATGAAATAATAATATAATATGAATATGTGGTGCCGAAACACTGCATAGAAAATGTTGGCTTAGACGACGAGATACTGTTGGACGCCATCCAAATGGTGTTGCTGACATAGTTACGTGCGACCACCTTTCCTTATCATTCGTCTCTGCACATCTCATGTAATTACAATGAAATATTGTCTACAATAATAAGACACTCCTGCTTTTTCTTTCGTAGACATCAAAGTACGTCAATGATGCTTCATCGGAAACGTCAGCAGAATCACCACCGCAAACACCTGCTGCACCTCGACGCCATCCTACACCTCCACCCCATGCTCCAAAACGACCACCACTACCACCAATTTGTTTCCGAGTTCCACTACCGCCTTTTCCACAACCTCCACCACCACCACCATTCTTTCTATCGCCTTTATCCACGCGTTCCAACGATCAAGCCACACCAGCGCCTGGTGAGTTAACGTTCTAACTCATTTGTCAATGTACTTTACTTTGCTGTAGTACCAAAATGGTGAACACGTGTTCTTCATCTTCATATTATCATATGTTGTGTTTTACTCATAGCAGTCACATACTTCAGCTGAATGCAAGCGTGAGGACGGTAAACATCCATCAGCAGTGATCTGAAATGGAAAGAGTCACAGATATGCACCAACTGACCAGGGAGTACTGGACAGCTGTCTCGTCGTTGTTCCAGACTCTTCAGCAGTATGTGCCCATGGCCCCACCACGGATCGAACCAAAGACCTTTGGGTTACAAGATGAACTGGTACACCATGGAAACACTGGGACGTCACCTGACCTAGCAGACACAATTTACTGTGGACTCCTATCAATCAACTGATTGAAACGGAAAGCAGGCGTATAAACGAATTTCGTTGTTAAGTACAGAGCCAATGATAGTGATAAAGAGTGGCACATGCACTAGGTTTGTGCCCACCAGGGATTGCATACTCCTCAGTCTTGAATTCAGCATTTCACTGTATAGTGAATATGTAAGTTCAACCATTATAACGCGTTAAATAGAAACTAACTTTCGGAAAAAATCATGTGGTGAAGCTTGTAGAGTATTTCACCTACCGATTATGCACAGACAACTCCTATCTGGCTGATTATTTTTACGCCACCACCGGATTCGTGACGCCAACTACAAATCAAAAATTGATTTCTCTCAAAGTCAATTACCAACTAATCTTTGGTCACTTCCATAAAATACACTTCGCTATATTAATTCTCCTACCTCGCTACCATCTTTTCCTCTATTTGAACAGAGTTACCGATGCCATACAACATGAAACCAAAGGAGACATTCTCGACTGCATTCAGATTGAAGAAGGCTTGCGTATCTCTGGTAAGTGTTCAGTGACATGTGTATATGTCAGTGATTTTAATAATAATAATAATTGTTGTTGTTGTTGTTGTTGCTGTTATCACTATTATTATTATTATTATAATAATAAAAACACAAACCTCCACTGAGAGATGCTGCAGACAAAATTCCACAGACTGCGATACCCTCCAGATGCCCAGATGGAGGCAGGTGGTTGTTTTGCGACAACCCTATGGGTCTTTCATTTAAAGTATTATCCAGAATGCAGTGGGCCAGCGTCAGCAACAATGTTCCCATGATTGTGTTCCACTGACCACGTGTACGGCTGTAGTTGACCATTTTTCTGAATTTCTCATGTTTTAATGAACACTTACTTATATTCTAGTGAACCAGTAGTCTATTCCACTCTGGTTTACTTCTCTGGCGTATGCATTTACATTTTTCATCGATGAATAAAACTCTTTTTTAGCATGCACAAGATGATGTGAATGTGGACTTGACAAGGAGATTTGGAACTGTGAAAGTGCGTGACGTGCCTGTCGAACCTATCAGTCGAATGAGCCTATTGAAGAATAGAAATAGAAGTGTTCAGATGTCAGTGAGAGGTGGTAATACCAGATTCTCCGAGGTAAGTCCATCCATTGATGTTCATTTTTTCGCTTGCACAAATTCGGATATTATTGGCTAGGAGTGGTAATTACATGGCTTCTCCAGGAAATGTGCTTGACTAATTACTCAGACAAGTAGGTATTTTGAATCACTAGTGGGCAGTTAGGAGCGGATGGACATTATATCTCCGATCTACGGTATCTTTCAAAATAGGTGGGTTACTACAAATCTACTAATGTTTCTCAGTGGAGATAAGTCGGACAAACATGTGTTACAATCTCAGTGAATGTACCTGAAATGTGTCTCCGGCTTCGATTCACTTCTGCATATATGAAATGTCATGTTTTCTCCTGTCGTAGGTAGTATATTCGTTACCCGTCCGAAATGTCGCAATATTTGTTTTCAGTTATCTTTGTGAGTCTCAATTTTCGGAGACGAGCTTGAATTTTAACATTTTCACCTGAGTTCATGTCACACTATTCGCTTTCTACTGGTTTGCGCTTCACTTGTTATTTGTGACAGTGGAAGTGTTTTCTGTGATTAGGTTTCTGTAACACGTCGCATATTGCGTGTTTTTATTGTTTTACTTACTGCTGTGTTTGTGTATCACTCATCTCTCTACACGACACATATTTGCAGTGTGGTATTTGCAGCCTATTCGAATGAGGTACTCCTATTTTTATTTTTCTCAGATTTTCGAATACGATGAGTCATCATTCACTTCACAAGGATCATCTCCAACCTATGCTTCGGAATGTGAACCAGTGTCAAGTCGAATAAGCTGATCAATAAACAATGTTGAGGTCGACCGCTTCAGTCACATTAGTGCAATGTGAGTTGGCTATCTGATTCATTGGTCAATGTACTGACTGCACTTCACTGCAACACGAAATTCGTGAGCACTTATTTTCTATCCTACTTTTATCATATGCTACTTTCCATTCATTGTCTTTACACACTTTGCATCATTTAGATCCATGTATGTGAACAATAAATATTCATCAAGATTAGCCTGAAATACATTGTAGTGAGTGGTAGTTATGTACAAACCGATCTACTGAATACAATTCACTATGATATTTTCCCAAACAGTTGAAACTGAAAAGAAACGAACGAATGATTTTTGTAGTTGAACAAAAGGTAGCAATAGGGTTAATGATAATAATAATTTGCTTTATTCCAGAAACGGTACTAGTGGTACAGTATGGAATTTTCAGCAAATATCTACAATATTTGCATCTAATTTTATCAAACATTTAAAAGGAGTATTTCAAAAAACAAGTATAAAGACAGCAACAACAAAAAATAAAACAACACAAAAATAATAAAAATATATACCAAGAAGTAGAAAGGAAAATCAACTACATAAAATAATATCTCAGTATTGGGTGGTGGAAGCTATGATATGATTGTGCATGGTGACAGTAAAGTTGTAGTCATACAAGAAGTTATGAAATGATATTTAAGAATGTTTATCGCCAAGATGATCAGTTAATTTGGTTGAAGCAACACTAAACAATGATAAAATAACATTTCAGGGTTGTTTTTTTATTGTCAGGTCTAATGCGGTGTTTGTAGTGGTAGTGTGAGTAATCCTACATAATACAAAATTTTAAGATGGTGATAATGGCGTCCACAACCAAGATTGTCAGTTAATATTGCCGAACAAAAAAAAACAACAACCACAAAAACTAATAATTACATGATGGTTAAATGACAGGACAATTTTGTAATACTCATAGTGCTAATGTAGTCAGAACCAGTAGATACACGAAAGAAGGAATAGAGTAAAGTACAAAAAGGTAAGCCAATATTCATAATTTAGGTAGCTAAGTATGTTTAAGAAAGAGCGCACTACAGAATGCAAAATAAGAGAGAAATAAAAGAGCCTAAAATTATGTTATTAACAACAAAGCAAGTCATAGGTTGAAAGCGTGACACATCCGCTCGGTTTATGTCCAACAATAATTCCGTATCTCACCGAACCATGAAAAGTAGAGCAGTCGAATGTGACAACTAGACAGATCAATTCAGTGACACGACCCCATCCAAAATATTTTTGACATTCCTCAGAATCATAGAGCATTTCTAAGCCTACAAACACTACTTCCATTTATGAAGACAGGTTTATAGAAAAGAAAAGGAGTTCAGCAAAGTGTTACTCTTTTCGGCGATATCATTCTCAAGGTGTACAAACCTCAAATTTATAGTAATTTTTCTTGGCAACAAAAGGAATATTTCCAAAGATGTGTTAATGCAATTGTTAATTTTTGACAGTAAATTACGTAATTTAGAAGGCGTTAGTCGGTTAGAAACTAAAATAAAGTTACAAAAGTAGTTTGGGTGACGTAATCTATTTGATAGGGTTCAATGAAAAATGAATGAGAGTTAAGTTGATTATCTGAGTAGAATTCACTTGAAAATAAACGAAAATGGAGTTAGCAACAGTCGTCACGAGGGTAGAGATTTAATAGAGGGTGGGGGTAGAAAATAATGCAATTAAGAAACAGACAAACAAAGAAGAAAGAGGTAAGACAAAATTACGTATTTGGTGTTAAGATAGATCAAGACCATTGTAGATTTAGTGACTGAACAAACTTCTTTTGTATGCAGAGTTCAGGATTCAATGTGTGAATTGCCATTGCTTCTGCAGTTTGAAGAAGTTTAATTCGTACTCTTTTGGCAAGATTCGTACGTATTGTGTAGATAACTGAGAAGTTGTTTTTTGGGTTTGCTTGGTGTCCGGATTCGATCAAGTGTTCTAGGTTTATTGGCAACAGAATTTTCTAAATACCTTTTATGGGTTTCCAGTCATCACAGTTGTGTGTGTGTGTGTGTTTGGTGTAGATTAAATAAAGACTCCGTGATCTATTTTGTACTGATTATATTAGATTTTAGAGCTTACGCTTTATCTTATCATATCGAACGTCAGCCCACGAATTGGGGAAGCCATAATTCTTCCTGATGATTGATGTTTTGAGGATCGCTTACTCTATATTTAGTGATTCTTTTGTGCTCAAATTTTCTGACTGACTCCGTCAGACTGCTTCAACCTTTATACCTTACCGCAAGATGATTATGCGGCATTTTATAGTCTGAATGATTTTGCCCTTCTGACGATTAATGCAGCTTCGTTTTCAGATAATTAATGAATATAAAGCTGCTTTAATTTCAGTTTCTTTAAGGAAACGATGAAATTCTTTGTTATCCTTTCATTTTACGGCAGCAACATAGAAGTTCTGGACTTCATCTTCCGGTCACTCAGTCTTTCATTTTCCCCCTATCAGATCTCATTAACACTTCAATGTATTCTGGCAGTTAATTACTGGGTAGTAATGCCTGTTTAACATGTTTTAATTTTGTGTTTAATTTTAATGAATCTCGCCTTAAGAGTATTAGATGAAGGAAAGTAACATCTAGGTATGTATCATAGTGCTTTTTTACTGTGCACAAGATGAGGCGATGAGATTTCTTTTTTTGTTCATTGGGACAAAACTGTGATAGTTTGTCAGCTGTTTATTCCATTTTGGCTTGCGGTAAATTGATCTTTGTAGGCTTCCATCTGATCGTCTTGTAAGTTGGACATCTAGGAAGGATAATTTACCTTTTGATTCCGCTTCAATTTTCAGTTCGACTGATTAGTGAGAGTTTTTGAAGATTTACAGGATTTTGTTGAGGTGAGTATTTTCATCGGTGATGAGAAATATATCATCTATATACAGATTGTACACTTCGAACTGTTTGATTTCTGGTAGGAGGAATATATGCCTCAAGGTACACCATGAAGCAATGGACCAAGTAGAGAATGCATTGCTACTTTATCCTTCTGGCCGTACATTTGACCATTGAATAAAAACTGAACATTTGTTGGGTGCATCTTAGGGTTAGTTCTTTGAAATGCTTAGTGGGTATACCAAAATTTAGATTATTCGAGTCGATAGACTCACATAGGTAGCATACAGTTTCCGTTAAGGTGACATTGGTGAATAGAGAGACTGCGTCGAACGAAGCTACAGTTGACCCAGTTACATTTGCGAATTCACCAGTTCCAGGTGAAAATTCACGGGGGTTTCCAATGGAAACCCCTAATAGTAACATGACAATATTTGCTCAGCTTGATCCCATAAATGACAATGAAGAAAGCTAATGAGAAGAGCATGATGGTGTATACTGTGGATTGATATGAGTAGTCGGGAATCAGTCACGTTAATCAGTAGTGCCTACTAGCCAGATAGAATTGATCCAAACGCCGGACAACTTTTTCGTTCGTTTGGCGCCGAGCTCATCAGCGGCGTACCTAATAGACTGAACTCAGAGTCAAATCGGTTTAAAACACCCGAAATGGATTCTATATAGACTAATATAAAGAATTTATAACTGACTAAATTTGAGAGTGCAGTAATTTCTCACTAGGCTTTACAACTAGATAGTGAGCTTATTAATCCCCAAACATTTAATGCCAATTGGTCAGCAGAAATAAAGTTCGCATATATGCAAGCCGCTACTTACTATTGATTGACATGAGTAGTTGGACACCACTGGCAACAATCAGTAGTGATTGCTATTCAGATCGAGGTGATCTAAACACAGAACAAAGTCTCGCCTGTCCAGAGCCGAGGTCGTCAGCGATGTATCCTACTCAGATGAGAACCAAGTCAGTTAAAATCATCCGAATTCTAGCTAGCTACCTAGGCGAACTGGTAATAGATTGAACTGAATTCGCGATTTTCAGGTTGACTGCTATTTATGGCATCAAGCAGATCACATATTGTGATCTGAATAATCTCGACTACCTTAGGAAACTGGTGGAATTTCACCACGAAGTGTGTAAATGGCGAATCGGGAACTAACTTGCAAATTGCGATATTGATGGGATTAAAGTTCAGGTATATGCATTAGTGGATAATAATCAAGTTGATTGTGGTTATTATCACAAGGATAAGTTTATACAAGCGTCAATCATTGTGAATGTGTATATTTGTAGGGACGTGGGAGCAAAATATCTGTCTGGTAGCGATTAAGTAATGGAGTTCTTAGTTTCATGATGAAACGTACAATTGTAATACCCCGTGACGATGATGAAAAGATACAGGTGACATTAAAAGTAAAGATAATAATGACAGTTATCACCAGGAGAGAAAACTATTCTAGGTTGGGAGTGAAGGTCCATAGGAGGGAGACGGACTGGACAAACTTTTTCTGAACACAAATTGGGTTGGAATATTTTGTGGCGACTGCTTCAGCAGTGCTTAGGAGTCGAAGACTTACAAATCTACAGAACTTAGTTGACACCTTGTATGGAACTGAGTTTTTATCAATCTAGTGCTCTGTATCCACCAAGTTTTCTAGTCTGACGAAAATTATGGTAGCCGGAATTTCAAGAGGTCGTAACAGAAGGATGTCTTGCTCTATCTTGTAACATGCACTTCCGTTGACCCTTAGAGGATTGAACCGGCAAATACGTGTAACATGTATCCATGACTGCACTTGTCTCTTCAGTGTTTAGATTAATTCTATCTAGCCATCAAGTGATGATTAGTGTAAGTAGTTTCTAACTGCTCATATCCATCAGTAATGTAAACCAGCATGCTGGATTAAATAATACCAAATGATCTGTTGATGTCTGATTGACAACGACAGATTTATCTCTACACGAATTTGTTGGCGAAGGCAATACACTATCACTAATATCTTCTTATCATACATATTTGACGCATTTGTAACGACGATAGGTTATTAGATGTGGGGTTTTGTTGATATTCAGATAAGTTTAGTTCTTAAAGGA